GTCGCTCCCAGTCCTCGGCCGAGTTGCGCTGCGACTAGAACGAAACCCCATCTGATGACAAGAAAAGACCCATTAGCCCTCTAGCAATAAACACCGTGAGACGATTTAGCTTTGGGGGCATCGACAAAAGACAAGATTTGTGGGCAAGCACTGAAAATCCACGTGTTGGGACAACGCAGACGGAGGCTGAAGCAGACGAGTCTTTAACAATTGTATCAGAATCTCTTCAAGTTGTGATAAGCGAAACCAGAAGCACGGGAAAAACTCCCTCTATTATTCGTAGAGATAACATAGATGGCTGCAAGTCGAATAAAGAAATTTCTGACATCGGCGAAAGAACCAATGTGAGATTTAGCGGTGATGAAGATGAAAATATAATTAATTTGAGGTCGGTAAATGCAATGGATGAACATATTGAGAAACTTTCCATTCTCAGTCTCGAGAAAGAAGATGCCATGATAAGCAGCCAAAATGCAATTCCGAAGATCGTGCGTCAGGATCGACTGTTTTCTTCAGAACCAAAAAACGATAACATTTCCGATCCAAAGTCGAACTCTTATCGTGAATCATCGAACGAAAGTGTTCAAAACCTTTTTGGTGTTGAGACTTCTAGAGTAGTGGTACTCGATGATAATGACAATTTGCAAAGTACTGTAATACTACAAAACCCATTAGTGGCTAATGATTTCGATACAAATCAAGAATTTCCTGCGGAAATAAAAAACTTTTTAGGTCAGACTGAAGAAAAAGTGGAATTGTCAGACTCGAAGACACTTGATTCCCCAGTACATAAGGTAAATCCTACGCGAACACAGAAAGCTTCATGTGACCGAAGTGCAAAGGACTTTCCGGCTTACACGAGGAAAGTGCAAAGGAAGAAGGAGAAAAAGAAAAATGACAAAATAAAAAAATATTCTTTGTATAATCAATTCTGACAAACAAACTCGTCAATCATCGAGATATTTGTTTAACCAATCAGTATCATGTGAAAGCGTTTAGGGAAAAAGAGAAAACATGGAGTCTTATCTAAAATATAAAGATGCAAAAAAAAAATCTCTGGCGTCCTCCATCGTCATTGGGGCTCAGATCTGGGTGGAGATTTAGGCGAGGTTATAAGGGAATTACCTGACCCTTCCTTGGAAATTTATTACCTGACTCATATTTGACTCATCAAAACAAATAAGTTTCCATGCTATCAGATTTATTTCAGTTTTGGCCCAAATTTTTCACAATTTCACATTCCTTTTCCACTCGCTAGTGCTAAATCTGCGGATTTGTTCAAGAATTTTTTTTAATCTCTAAGGAAGGCTCCTGTGTCCCCTGAAGATCCCGCTCTATTATTTGATGCAAGCATCTTTGGCCTGTAAACCCATCAGCACATTTACAACGTAGTTTCGTAGGACCACGTTCCAAGGCGAAACACGTTCCCCCATTCGCACAGCCTATTTTTTGAACTTCTTCGGGCGTACAAGCTGAAGGAATAAAAGACATAAACGAAGGGAACGGTTATTATTGGTTATGTTATGATAAAACTTACCTTATCCCTTTATAACGCTCTTTAATATACTCATGAACCTTTCCCTCGTTGGCAGTTAATTGACTGTCATTTTTCTATACTATATTGGAGACGAATGATCCCC